ATTGTCCCTTCTGCTCTTTAATTTGTCCATGCTTTAAACGCTTCAGATGCAATACCACACAGATCATTGTGTTGAGATTGTCATGAAGGCAGATATAACAAACAGACTGAGTGTGTGAGCAGTTCCTTTGAGCTAAATGCTAAAAATCTATGCAGACATTTAGCAGGTATAATATTGCCCATGCTCTTAACCTTAGGTTGGTGTGGCAGCATGCTAACATCAGCCAATTACCAGGAATTTGTACTTGGTAACGGCACTAGAAATAAAAATCAAGGTCAATTTTATTTGTTATTATTCTTGAATGACAGTCTGTCTAGTAATATCACAATATTAGCTTCATTGTGTTGCGAGAAAAAAGGTCAGAGGGTCATCAAAGTGGGTAGCCTTTACCATCTGGGGACCATGAATGTCTGTACAAAATCTGCCGTTGGTTCACTGCGAAGTTTCTTCCTAAGTGATACCAAAATGTGATTGTCCTACCCTTTAAAACACTGTCTGTCTGCAGGCTCTCCAAAGCTGCAGACATGGACCATCACTGGGTGGCCAAAGCCTGGTTAAGCGACGTGGGCTTGCCTCAGTACTCCCAGGCCTTTCACACTCACCTGGTAGACGGGCGCATGCTGAACTCCCTGACACGTCGCGACTTGGAGCGTCACCTCAACATCACCAAGAAGTTCCATCAGGTCAGCTTGCTGCTGGGCATCGAACTGCTGCATTTGCTGAATTTTGACAAAGAGGTGAGTGACAAACAGTGGAAACTATATGTGGGTGTCACCAAACAGCAGGTGAAAAACAAAAGAAAAGAACTTATCCAGCTGTGTAAAGAGTGTTTATTAAAATGGTTTTCAGGCTCTGCAGGCTCGCCGGATACAGTGTGAACACCAGAACGTGGATCCGTTGGTGTGGACCTCTCATCGGGTCATGAAATGGATCAGGGATATTGACCTCAAGGTGGGACTGAGAGTTAGTGCACCTCAAATGTTAAAATATAAAGAATACATTAACTTTTAACAAATGTGTTCAGTATACAGCTCACGAAGATAATGAATCCTCAGCATGCACGTGCTAAGAATTGTAAAAACACCATCACGTGGGTAACGGAGGCTCTTTTGTTTGCTCTGCTCCACAGAGTGATAGCAGGCCTTTGTAATTTCACTTCCAAACTGCTCCTGGTTGATCACAACACCTGTCAGATTACAGCCTTTGTGTTGATGCTACAATATTAACGTTCCCCGTTGATAGCGGCCACATTCACAGTGTGCACAGATAAGGCTGTCTGGATTGACATCCTGTTAATATCCTCAGGAAGTTTGAGTTACACTGATATCAACAAATGAATCAATATGCGTTGTGCTTTCAAATCAATTTTGACATCATTTTGAGAGACTGATGACTGCATTGTCTCCCTTTAGCCAGTGACAGCCACAGTGTTCTACCAAGATTCTTAGATTTGATGTTAATTATGAAAGAGGTGACCATTTGGGTTTCTTCCCCATCTGCCAATCCAGGAATTTGCTGAGGGTCTGTTAAACAGCGGAGTCCACGGAGCTGTCATGGTGCTTGACCCCACTTTCAACACGGACGCCATGGCAACAGCACTGGGAATCCCCGGCAGCAAGCACATGGTTCGCCGACACCTTGTTGAGGAGATGAAAACACTAATTGGTCCAGCCAGGTGAGAGGAGAAATTCACGCAGAGACACCAAATCAATTCCGCTTACTCTCGTCTCCATTTACGTGTGAGACAGATTCTTTAATCCGAAAGCGCCCATCTCTGATAACATATGCTGTGTTTGTGTGTAAATGTTACGTAAAGATTCACGCTGGTGTGCTTTAAATGCTATCTGCGGCTGCTCTCTGCAGAGCCGATGCCAAACAGGACTACGAGCATTTAGGCCTGGGAACGCCACCAACCCTGCTTCGCCAGAACTCCCTGGGCAGACCGCCCAGCTCCACCAGCCGACACGCTGATGAAGAGGGCTCGCTGAGGAGGAGGGCTGTCAAAGTGTGAAAAAATTACTACTCTACAAATCGAGTTGTTGTCCACAATTTCGGCTTGTTTGGAAACAAAAATTATGCTGGGTCACTTTCACTGCAAACACTACAGAGCAGTGCCGACACGTTAGACAATACAGATTTGACACAGACATAACAAATCTGCAGCATTAATTAGGCAGTGAAGGACAACTTACAAGGCAACATTTTAATTAGGATGATAAACAGCAAGATGCTTTTATTACAGAAAGTATTTCATCAAATAAATTGTTAGATTTCGAGCCTGACTGATACTGGATCTTTAGGGCGGATACCGATGTCTCTGATATTGTGATACTGATAAATGCTGGTATTATTTATATCCATAAACATGTATATGTTGGAGTGATACTGAAAATGTAAAACCACGGGGACGTGGTTTATTTACTTTAAAGCGTGTATGTACTTCACAAGCCGGTTGACAGCTTACCATGAGGTCACCATTTGACTCTGCACCGCCGTACTCTGCTACATGCGCTGCAGGCAGTGATTGTCGATAGCGTTGTAAAGAGTATTAAAACTGTATGACTTTGACCCTTTTTTCTACATTATGTTCTGTAAAAAAAAGAGCATATATTCTAACACCAATTTATGTGACAGGCTAATATTAGCTGACAATATCAGCCAACCAATAAGTCAGTCAGGCTCAATTATATATTGTTCAATTAGAATAGAGCAGAAAAGAATAGCATTTATTGCCATTTGCACAGGCACATTAGTGACAAAGGGGGAAAAGCATGCAAAACGGTGCATATTTTAGAAAGTTTGACCATAAAATGACACAATTCTTTTGTACATTATTATACAATACTATTAGGGGTACACTGGAATTCTTTGTGCGTATCTCAAAGTCAGCTTTGTCAACAAAAAAAGAAGGTAAAGAAAAAAAAAGGAAGAGCAGCAGCAGAAAAGAAGCTTGATACAAATATACATTATAAGAATAACATAATAATAGTAAATATCCTGAGTAGGTATTGCATATATTAGACAGCGTACAGTAGTAACATGGCTCATACCGTTCTGTGAAATAACTGTAGTCTTACTGCACATGAATTGACACACAACATATTTATCCAACCTTGTTAATTAGTGGGACTTCCAAGTTAGCTGCACCCATTTGATGTAGGACATTACTGGGTTTAAATGTGTATGTTACCCATGACAGAGTTGTGTACATTGTTGTTTGTTTGCCACCTGTTTCACTGTTTCCTGAGCCACTGATTAAGCGTAAACATGAACGTTGTCATCAGTTTGTTTGAGTGCATTCGGAGTAAATCTTTTGTGTTACTGTTCCAGCCTCCAGCAGGTTTCAGCCCCAAAGCCCGCAGTGGACGAGACTTGAGCTGCCACGGCAGCTATGGCTCCCTGCCCAGGGAAGTCCGAGACCACACTCCGCCCAGAGCCGAGGGAAGCCCGATCCGCGGTTACACCAGCATCGAGGTCACCAATGTGTGACGTCATCAGACTGTGACAAACACCAGTCATTCGCTTCGTCGCAGCTAAAACTCCAACATGGACATTTGTCATCCATGCGCACCTGAACATGGGATGCTTTTAAGTTTTACTTTTTTTAAAGATGAGCCTTTACAGGAAAGATTGCACTTTGTAACAGGGGCAGGATTCTTTTTTACAAGTTTCCTGGTTTCAGAAAACTGTGGACACGAGTGAGGTGTTTTTTGGGGGGACAGTAAGTTCTCTTCCCCCATGAAAGAATCACAAACAAACAAATGAAGGACTCCAGCAAAATGCTATTTTTCTATTCCTTGTGTGTAAACCAGGACGTGACTTGTCGATTTGTTTTTGTTGACTGGTTGCTATGAACAGTCTCTTTCTCTGAAGGAAATGAGATTTTAAAACGACTGTTTGTATTATACAGGGTACTTAATGACAAAAATGACAAAAAAAAAAAGAATCTTTCATATCAATGTAAATTGCTTTTGTTCCATTCAAATCTGCTGTTTGTGATGCCTTGTCAGTGTGGCTGAGGAAAAAACAAAACAAAACAAAAAGACTTGAACTGAATTTTAAATCCTAGAATATATGTTTGATAGTCATTTTTCATCTCGCACATTCACACTGTTGTGTCTAAACAAATGTAGCACCTCTTCTGATGTTTTATACTGTGCAGTAAACAAAAAAAAATATTTGAACAATGCCAACAAAAGACGACTGCAAAGCTGTACGACTGTGAAAAAGAAAAGAAGGCAATTTTGTGGAAATGAAAGAGTATTCCTTATGATGAAATAAAGATGACATCTCAAACACAATTGCCCAGTTGCACCCGTTTTGAGAAGAAAAATACTTGTAATGATCTGAGAAAGCTGCAGCAGGAGGTTTAGAGATTACATAAAAAAATAATTCAGACTAACTTCTATCTGAGACACTGCTGGCAGGGAAGACATTGTGCAGATGGATGATGCAAACTTCTAAAGTAAATGTCGAAGGACAAGCTGGGAAAAAAAGAAAAGGAGAGCTGTGCAACGTTTGCTCTGAAAAACACAGTAATATGAAGTCAGTGCAATGAATACAACGATGATATGTACTGTGAGAGGTGTTGCTCACATTTTCAGAGTTCCAGAGAATCATCAGCCATTTCTTCAGTCACATATCAAGCAGCTGAAGTTATTTTTTTTCCTCAGGAGCTGACAGAAGCCAAACCAGAGGGAAGATTCAACAGGCGCTAACACAATAACACATAAAATGCTGCCTCTGCGGGATGTTTAGCTATGCAAGAAAGTAAAATAAAATTATTGCAGCTTTAAAGAAAAATGTAAATGAAGAACAGCCAATAATAAAAGTCAAAAATGGTGGTTCCTATTAAGAAATGTATAAATAAAAGGACCTCTTCACTTGTGCGAAAAAGGGAAATGACAGAGACACTGAGCATTTATGCACGAAGGAGGACAAAAGGGTGTGGGAATTATATCATTAGCAAAATAAAAGTCTTCATGTGGGAGAAATAGTCCTTCTTATTGCACTCATTTGCATGAGAAAACATGTTTGGTTCGTTGCCTCCTGTGTAATGCAAATGGAGAGTCACACTGAACTCCTTCGTTACCTTCTCATGCTAATACTGAATCTATACACTTGGCTGATTCCCTGACAGTGAGTTGGCAAATCGCTCCGGTAATCAGCCCTACGTCTACGCATGTTACCTCAGGTCTAGACCTCTGCGCAATTCCAGCGTGGTGCAACTTCTTCCTCTTAGTCACGGTGACTCAGGTTTTATGCTGCACAAAAGATTACGCAGCACCCAATGTGAGAGCAGCCCACCTTCTAGCTGCCCTACCTTAACTTACCTTAAAACCTTTCTGGTAATCCACCCACCACTTTGGTGCCCCTTTGAACCATGAGCTATCAGAGGTATGACAAAAAAAAAAGGGCAAAGGTCCATTAGGGAAATGAAATAAACTACCTACTGGGAAGCATTTAGCGGAGAAATGTAATTAGATTTCAAAGAAGCAGCCATAAACTCAGATAAACACCTACACGGAAAAGGATGTAAATGGCCTTACAGGTAGAACAAACACACACAAAAAGTGAAGGGATTGGTTATTTTATTTGAGTAGCAAGTTTTCATTTGTAATATTGATTGGAAGACTCTGCTCCCACATAACATATTCACAGCCTAAGTTAATTTGCTACACTCAAGGCTACGAGGCCATGTATAAATCAAGTTTTTACTGCTATGCTTTTCCTTTGCAGCTGCCAACAAATTTGATTACTGACTGGCAGTGATAAGGAATCAATCCAGACCACCAGACGTAATCAGGGCTTGTTCACAGTGGTTATGTGTGTCTGGGTGTGTTTGTGTGGTAAAACAGAGGAACCAGACAAAAGCACAGGAGGAAGAAAGGGTCCCCAGAGCCCAGAACAACAAGTTTGCCTCACTTAAAAGGAACAATGCAGTGAGCTAGGACTGGTTTTGTCATTATTGTAAAATAATGCAGTCCTCGTTCCAGCAGGCTGATAAAGAGGAGGACACTGGGACAAAGAAGTGGAGCCAAGTGAAGGCCCGTTTTTTTTTCTGTTTTGGGTAACTCTCTGCAAAAAAGCCAATGGCATACATCCCGCGCATGCACAAGCACACAGACACATGACGAAATGCATGGTGAAAGACAATCTGCGTCATATGACTGGGGGAGTTCATATGCAAAAGGCTCCCAAGACATGACGGCTAGCAGGTGGTAAATTTACAAAGAGGAAGTAAAAACTGTGACTCATATAAAACTACATGGAAAAGTATTGAGGAAATAGCCTGGGTCACTGACAGTTCTTGTTTGTTGTTTCAAACAAAGATCCACGGGCGCTTTGTCGTCTATTTGTGGTTTGGTTGGCCTTGGAAGAGGTTAATGCATTCTCATTATCCATTCTCCTGCTAAATGTGCATTTCCTCGACTTCTTTGAACCTTTTTCAAGTGACCCACCCCTCAGCACCTACTCTGACAATCACTGGTGTACATCAGTTCCTGTATTTAATATTTCATGCTTTAGAGTCACTTACAATGGAGCGTGACAATAAATCGAATGGTTAATCCGTCTACAACGCGCTAGGTTTGTACATTTAGGTTTAGGTTTACTTCTTTAAATATAAAGTCAAGTCCACAATAAAAAAAAATCCACAGTGGGATTTTCCATTCACTTCACTGCACACCCCCGTCGCTACCTGATGACTACATCATGTGTCATTATGAAAGTCAAACTGTTATCTTCAAGTAAGGGTGCCAAAACCTTGATACATAACTGTTGGCTGTTTCCCAAAGTGTGCACAAAGTACTACTATTAGTGTATTGAGTGGTTAGTCCGTTCACACCTGGGGTCACAAGGCAGGTTTAGTGAAACCTCTGAGTCTGTTAACCCTAAAATGAGCCTAACTTAACTTATTCACATGTTTACATACAGCTGCACCTTGTATGTACTTTTTGTGCTACTTGAAGCCTTTACAGTTTCCTACAAGTTCAGCAAAGTGCAATATTCAGGAATGTGTTATCAGTAACACGACTGTTTTAATAGTGAAACAAGCTATCTTTACAACAGTGAATTACATCACTGGTTTCATAGGTTACATGACTAGTTTTCTATAAAATTTTTATATTTGCACTTTGTCTGACTGTGTGAATGCACTGATATGACAGCTGCTCAATTCTGTTGAACGCTATGGATTGACAATGAAGGAATTAGCACATAGAACCTAGACAGTCACATGTCTTGCCACACTTGCATGTACCATTCATACAGTTTAAATTGCTCATATTATGTACATCTTAACACATTCATACTCCCTTACAGTTATCCAGTTAGACATTTTACATATTGTTGCTATATTATTCTACTATATTTGTATATTTTATATTTGCACATTTCTTACTGTACTTACAAACAAAACTCTGTTGTCTGATTGTGTAAATGAACTGACAGGATTTAATTTTATTGTGCACTAAATGAATCCTATTCTATTCTATTCTAAAAAAACAAACAAACAAACAAAAGTTATACATCTTAGATATTTACCCATCATGCCAACTTGCAAGCACTGTTCAGACTTGATAGCACCCTCATACTGCTTTTAGAGCTTATTCCCTCAGACATTTTAACTTTTCCTGCTTCTTTTGCACTTCTGGTTACCATTTGTGCTGTGCATGGATTATAAAGTTGAATCTAATCTAATCTGATTGTTTACTCAATATTTATTTATTGATATTTTAATAGGAAAAAATGCATTAAAATTTCTGTTTTTCAATTTGCACAAAGCTGACTAAGCAGCACTTAATTGAGATTAATTAATGCACCGGTTAAATTAGCCTGCTGATTTCTATATGTGTGTGTGTGTGTGCGTAGGTCAAATGTTTCCGGGTATTTTAGTTCCCCTGCACCGTCATTAAACCGTTAGAGTGTCTTTTCCCGGCAATTGACACGGCAGCTCGGATAAAGCAACAAGTGAGATAAACTGAGATAGAAACCCCCATTTATTGCCCCACTCTCACGTCGCCTCCGTGTGTGTGTGAGGAGGAGCTGGCGGTGAAGGGGTTAATGAAACTGGAAGTGTGTGGAGGACCCTCCCTCCTCCTCCTCCTCCTCCTCCTCCTTCGCTGCCCGCCGGGGCCCATCCGACTCTCTGCAAAGTTCCTGATCCGCAAAACGCTACTCGTCACCGAATTCTAACCATCAGAAAAGTGCTGTCAGCGTCTCCAGAGTCGGATAACAACAAACTCCACGTCTCGGGTTTTGTTTTTGGAAGAAGAAGAAGAAGCAGAAGAAGAAGAAGAAGCAGAAGAAGAAGAGTCGCTTCATGATGCAGAGGTGAGTCGAAGCAACGTCGTTCGACAAAGTGTCGCTGAAATGTTGCTTAAAAGAAAAAAAAATACACGACAGCTGCTTAAAAAAAAAAAAAGTTTCAGCCCTGGAAAATTAGTTTCATTGCGAAGTAAAGTGAAAAACCCGCCCCGTTAGCTAAACTTATGTGTAGGCGTGAAAAAAAAAGGAACAAATATGTTTACATTGCTTATAAGGAGTCACTAAGACACCAACAAGTTAACGTTTGAATTCCTGTAAATGTAGTTTTGAGTCCAAAGAGTCACTCTGGTAGCTTTTAGTTGCTTACAGGCAGGTTCTAGGACTGTTTCACATCACACACCATAATTACATGTTTTAGGCTACAGGCTTAGTGTTTTCCTATGAGCAGGCCTGTCAATGTCTTACTGCCCAGCGTGGTGAAATATAACTTTGCTGGCTGTACTGTAACAAGCAGCTCCATACCATGTTTATGTGACATCCTCACATACATTCCTTTAAGCTGCATCACGTGCATGTGAGTCAAGCCCTGCAGAGCATTGTACACTTAAGGGGATTTTTTTTTTTTTTTTAACATTTGCCCAGCTGTCATGATTAGCTCAGTTCAGTCTCATGCCATGCATTCTTTGGGTATCCCTAAACTGGAGCTGGGTTTACCTACGTTAAGCTGCCCCTCCTTTCTTTTCCAGCAGGCCTGGGCATGTTTCCAGACAAGACTCACACTAACAAACTTTGTGAGTGTATCCCTGGATGAATCCCTGGTGTGAGTATTTCAGGATGACATTCCTGAATGGTCACAGAGTCTGCATATACATAATTAATTTCCTGGACTTTGTGCCTCGGATTTCTCTAACAAAGTTATCCTGCAGAGTGGAATTGTTTCCTTACTTTTTTGGGGGGTCAGGATTCACATTTTGAGCACTACGTGAGCCACATAATAGACTTAGCAAGCAATACAGTGAACCTGTGTATTTTCTGTACGAGATTATGCAATATTTTTGAGGTCCTTTCATTTTACAGTTCCCATAACGGGCCTTATCTACCCTCATAACGTTGACAGGCGAGTCTGCTGTAAATTTTTTACCGCGCAACACGCCTGTTTGTAGAACTCTAGGTGGTTTTCTGTCTTACGTCAGCTTCATCGAAAAATGGGCTCGTGAAAGAACAGATCCGTGGACGGCAGTAACACGTTCAGGAAAGAGCTTGTAGATGACGTTCATTTCCTAACAGGAGGGCTCTGACTGTCGAAGCACTTTATTTGCTGCTTGGAACACTAAGGAGGATATTGTGTTTTTGTCTTTACTGCTGTTATTTTACAGAAAGGTGAGATAATATCGTGTTGGACATTTCAATTTTTGCAGGAAGTGAGTGTGTGAAAGTTTGTTTTCTGTTACGTTCTGTGGTATGTTGGTTTGAGGTTTCTCAGTCCATCCACATATTCATTTCTCTCTCCCTCTCTTTACAGTTTTTGACCTCACTGCTCTGACTGAAGTTTAGGATTTGACAAGATGCGTTCCAGTGTGAACGGAGCAACGGGCCCGGTTGCCAGTGAAGGGACTCATAGCAGTAACAACCACAACAACAGCAGCAGCAGAGAAAACACTGGGAATTCTGGGTCCCAGTATGCACTGTGCGCTTTGGGAGTTGGACTTATTGCCCTCGGTGTGGTGATGATTGTGTGGAGCGTTGTACCTGCTGATGCAGCTGGTAACAGCAGCATACCAGGAGGAGGCAACGGTACCACAGACAGGAGGAATAAAGCGTCGTCTGTGGCCTTCGTCTTGACGGGTTCTGGGGTGGTTATGCTGCTGCTCTCCTTGTGTCTGGGAATGAGGAACAAACAGCGGGAGCTGAGGTTCCAAGAGGCCCAGAACAGCCAAGCAGAGGCACAAAGGGTGCAGGAGGCCAGAGAAACGTAAGTTCAGTGATAGTTTTCCAGCTAAACAATGTCATTTGGATCTTGGGAATAATATTTTTCCACTATTTCTTTTGGTTGTCATGTCTGTGAACAGAAACCTGATTTGGCTATGTCAGCTACAAATGTCAGACGTGGGACTGTGTTGGGCGCAGATTCCAGAAAGTTTGTTTTCCTTAAAACACATGAGAATGATTTGCTGGTGGATTAGATTGTCTGCTCAACACTTGTCTTGAAAGAGTATTGTTTTCCTATCATTGCTGGATCACAGTAACTTTTCAGAGCTTTACAAAAATCAGTGATTAAAAATCCAATGACACTGAAAAACAGCTGATATTTGCTTTGGTGACTGTATAGCACTGTTGAAAGGACAGATGCATTGTAAAGGCTTATGCTCCTTTAAAAGTCTGCTATCAGTGACTGTTCATTTTGAAGACGCTAACAAGTTCAATTATTTATTAACTCACCAGATTTTGATTTACTAACATCATAGCAAGTACAAGTACATGCTATTGGGTGGCAGCTTGAGCATTTGTGTATTTGTCATATTTTTCTGTGCATCTATATACAACAAAAACTATTTATCATTCCCCCCCAGCCTGCATCAGTACTGCAGCAAAGACAACAATCAAAAGTAGGTTAATAAAGAAATATAATAAATTGAGATTGCTAGAAGACAAATAACATAAAAACATGTAAACACAATAGCAGAGCAGCAGCCTTAACCTGCTATAAGTGCTATAAAAAACTAGCAGCACAGTATATCAAAGTGCAGTTATGTCCAGTGGCAGCACAGTATGTTGAAGTGCTACAAAAGAGCACATATTGGACAGTAATTACAGAAAGTGATTCATGGGAAATGGCCTACAACATGCAGTACACTACATATTACATGAACGATTTGAGAATACACACAACACGTAATTGCCCTGGGAGAGGACCTCTATTGCACCATGAGTGATTCACTTCTTCCATTCATACTTGCATATTTCTGTAAATGTCTGCAGTGCCGAGGAGCAAGCCCAGCGTTATGCCGTACCCACTTACGAAGAGGCAGTTGGCAGCGGTCAGTATCCTGTCCGTCAGAGCAACCTTCGCCCAAGCACCTCCCAGCTACCCTCCTACGATGACCTGGACCAAGTCGATGGCGTGCAGTACGAGAACGAGGGACCAGAGGTCACGACTGCTGGATCACAGCCTGCCCCGGCCTCCGGCGCTCCCACCGCTCCTGCCCCTGCCCCTGCTGCTGCTGCTGCTTCTGCTTCTTCATCGAGTCGTAGACCTGGGAAAAATAGCCGCAAGCTCCTCCCCATCAAGATCCGCAGGATTAAATCAGAGAAGCTGCACATGAAAAATATTGATAACTCTCAGCCAGCAGCTGGAATCAGTATTGAACCGCTCACCCCACCACCGCAGTATGAGGATAAAGTGCCTCCAATTTAAGACCATACTGATCATGTTTAAAACAATCAAGTGGAATCCCTCACAATCGCTTTTTGTGGATTTGGATCTGCCTTGTTAAGCCAAGACTTGAATGTGGCTTCTTGTAGAACGGATTCAGTGGCACTTTGTTCTGAAATGCCTCCTTGTGCCACATAACTCCAAAGCACTGAACAGAGGAAATCTTTATTTTGTTTTGGATCTCACTGGACATGGGAAAAAGATACAGATAATCGCTGGATCCTCACTGTGTGGCAGAATGTGTCGAACTCGCTGGATTGAGTGCACACCAAATACAGTCTTTTTCTGCTATAGTAACTTCCTGTTAATACATGACTTTATGTAAGCGACCTCCGCTGTGCACTGACTGTACACGTGAGCTGATGGAGGCAAAGATCACGAGACATCAGTGAGGGGTTATAGTGAGATTTTGTGTGCTTATTTAAATAGATAAGAGCAGTGTTTAGCAGTGGAAGGCTTTGGATCAGCACTGCCAACGGTTTCATGTAGGCTCCGTAGTGAATGACTGAGTATTGTATGTTCTGGGTGCCGTGACCTGATGTGTGGTGTCACGCTGCACAGAAACTCTTCCTCATTGGAAACGATTTTGTCTCTCCTGGTCCTCTTGACCTTACCAGCGAATGAGAGACAAATTTGATTTGCTTAATTGCCGTGTGAGAGACTCAGCCCCACCCGTAAGGGCCAGTGTGTTGGATAAAGGGGCATCTGTCAGCAGAAGTGGAATATCGTCTTCAGAATTATGTCGTCCTTAGTGTTGAATTAGCTGCAGCTACGAATCACTGTGACTGAACTTTTTATCTGAGTTCTCTTCCACAGAGTCCACCATGTTTCTAGAACTGCCCCAGGATGGATAAAGCAAACACTGGCTTCAGAGATGTGCTTTAGAGTTTTACGATCAAGTGGCAGCCAGTGTAGTTCTCCGTCACGCTTGGACAGGGAGGGGAATTCAGTCGGTTGTAATCTGCAACCTCCCTGCTAGATGCCACTAAGTACTACACACTGGTCCTTTAATAATAGCTTTTGTTTTTCTGGACTTTGATTTTGAGGGTTTTATTTATCTCCCTGCCTTCAAAGCTGAAACATCTGGTTTTCTTTACACGTGAGCTACCTACCTAACAGCACTATTTTAAGAATCGTCTGTCCGTAGCTAATATAAAACAAAGCTTTGTTATCATTCATCCACCGCAGCTCCTGTGACTCACAGCCATAGGCGGTGTACGTAACACGACTCTAACCTAATGTGAAATGTAGTTTTAATAACAAAATACCCCTTGTTGTATCTTGGTATATTGTCAAGCCACTTGTGTTACCATCAGGTACAGCTGTGCCCTAGTTTTATGTCTCCCTTTAGAAGGACAAAAGAAAATTCTACAGTTGTGATCAAGCCGAGGCTATTGGGCCTGAAAAAAGTTTCAGGACGGTTTAAAAATGTTAAAGTTGTGGGTCTTTCTTTACTGTGTCAGAAATGATGCAAAATGAGTAAATCGCTGGCAGGGGCTCTTCTGGGCATTTTGTTGCCCCAGAGGAGACGTCCCCTGCTGCCCATTAGAGGACTGCTTTCTCATTGGAACATTGTATGATAATTATTATCATTTTAAAAGTAGTATTTCAAACTTTATTCAACCTTTGTGTTGTGTCACTTAGTTTATTTTCATCCCCCTGCCCCTTGAATATCTTATCCTGGTTTTAACTATATTCAGGATAGATAGGATGTTCTACATCTTGATATTCTGATCCAGATTGTGAACATAAATAACCTGGTCGGTTGTGAGTCATTGTTGAGTGAATGAATTATGCAGTTGGAGATTATGTGATGATCAGCCCCTTCTATACTCTGTAGTGTCCTCTCAGTATCAGCTGTTTACTGCTGTGTGAGCAGTGTTTGTTCTTTTTTAAAACAAAGTAAGAGGTGCTTTGGATTTGAGTGACAGACTTTTTAAAAAGTAGATCAGACGCAATCACAAAATATTTATTCCTCTTGGTTGGTGGTGCTGGCGGTGCCCTGGGCTGCCAAACTATCTCTGATTGCTGCCTTTAGTGTTGACATGAAATATTATCTTAAAGGTGTCATACTGCGCCCATTTTCAGCCAAGTAATAGAAGTGCCACATACCCCCAGAACATGTTTTTACCGTTTTTAGCTTAAAATACTACAAAGATAGTTCATTTTACCACTCCTGGTTTCAGCTCTGTTCTAAATGGGCTGTTTTAGTGTTTCTAGCTTTAAGTAGAGCTAAGCTGCTGCTGTCCACACCCCCTTCAGGACGTAGACTCTCTCTGCGTCTGTGATTGACAGCTCAGAGCAAAATAGTTGAGCACATGAAAACCGACGCAGAAATGAATGAGTGTGTGACGTCAGGATGCAATAATGTTACATGGAAATGCAGCCAAATTCTCAACACAGCTATTGTTTTTAACCCATGTGCATAGTGAGTAGTTTAACAGTGCAGAACTGGAGCTTGGAATTGGCTCTGAAGTGACTCATTCTGATATCTGACAACAGAAACTATGTAAATAAGTAAAGTTGAGCAGCTTTATTGAGAATTTGGCTGTATTAAAATGTGAGCACAGAGGGCAGGAGAGAAGCAAACAGATGTAAACACTGGCTAAGCTTAGATTGCATTAAAACACGACAGGTCATATGAAAACACAGTCATCCACTTAGTCCTGGAAGTTTCCACGACCTCTGAACATCCCTCAGCTTTGCAATCCACCGTGGTGTGACTTGTGGGTATATGATGAAAGCCAGTAGCAAAGTTAGCCACTTTAGCCACACTACATGCTAACACTAAAGACTTTTCAGTTGTTGTGGTGGCCTTTATTAACAGGAGTAATGAACTGGGTGAGAAAAAGCTCAACAACCATTGGTCAGCTGGAATGTAGCAGTTCAGTAAAATCCCTACTGGTGGACTTTATCTAGTCGTGAGGAGACTTCAGGAATGACCAAAGTAAATGTTTTCATATCTCAACAGCTTTATAACAAAACAATAAAAATGAAAAAAAACAAAGTCTTTCCCTGTATGGCAGCTATAAAGCTGTAATAACCAGTTTTGAGTAAAGGGACCAATTTCACCAAAACAAACTCAGAAACACAGACCCCCATGTGCCATCCATTCGTCACTTTGGCAGGGTTAACACCTCAGCGAATGGCTGCCAAACATTTATGAGTGGATCTTGCATTTACACTTCACAGGGCACCATTAAAGTCCTGATTCAGTAACCTTTCCCGAGAAAGTACTTTCTAGGAAGAAATTACTATCGAGGGAGTTCAAGGTCTCATTTTATGTAGTCGTTATGCAGGGGTAATACTAAGCGACTGCAGGGTTGTACACACTAAAGTGCCTTTGTGCTCAGAACAACACTTCCTAAAACATTTCAAAAGACACTGTACGACTGAGTTTAATGTTGCTTCTTCAGTGCTTCTACGCTTGCAAAGGAAGTATGTGAGCGCACGCTGGAAAGAGGAACTAGTGAATAGTCGAAAGCTTTTGCTGCCCTGTAGCCGTGGAAAACACTGTTGAGTTGTGAGGACTGTGGTGCATTTTTCTTTTTTTTGTTCTTGTTCGAGATCACCAACAGAAAGACTCTTTGACCGTGCAGCTGGTGCCGTAATAACAGCAGCTATTGCTCACTCGCTTGCTGGTCATCATTCCTTCCAGCACAGCTTGACTTGCAGCTCTGTTTTCAGATAAAACTATGCAGAGAATGAGCAGAATGAGAAGAGATGCTGCTCCAGGCTTTTTTCTTTTTTTTTTTTTTTTTTGAGTTGCATCAGTAGACACTATTTTATCAATACCTGTCAGCACACTCTCTTCTTGAGGTTAGCCTCATTTAGAAACAAACAGCTGATGCCACACGAATGACTCATCAGTCACTCCTTTCAATGTTACTAATGGTTTAAAGTTGCACAGCTTTTACTGTTTTTGGGTTTTTTTTGCTTTGGAAGACAATTCATTAGTGCCTTCAGTTGCACGTTGCGTTGGAGTAGAATTAAGCCCATTAGAGCTACTCTATCATTGTCAGCTGATTATATTGTTGCCAAGGTTTCTCTCAATTGATGGACAATTAGCTTTAGCAGAGCGGAGCAGTGTCGCAGCATCACTTCAGCCTTGTCATCGTATTTCAGCTGTGTCTACATTAGTCTAACTTGTTATTGAAGTTGTCACACAATGTATTAATTCTTTGGGGGGTTTTTTTGTCATGTCGTGTACTGCACAAATCGGCGTTGTACCTCATTTGCAAAGGACCGGATAACTACATGATTTTATTTTAGCTATGCTGTCAAAATGTTTAACAGTAATGAATGATGATGTTTGGATTTTCATGCAGATGAGTTCCCCAAAAAACCAATGCTGTTTGTTGTCAGTCTCATTTTTTAAAATTTTTATTACCTAAATGTCTGTACTGTGAATATATGCGTGTCTATGATTCGAATGTTTGTTTTTGGAAAATGAGTTTTTGTCTCATGAATGTTTTATGAGAAATAAAAGGAAGTATTTGTTAAATAACAGTATTTTAAAAGTGCGTTTCGTTGTGATCGCTAAATCGTCTTGAGTGTAATTCTGTTATTGACTTGAATGATCTGCTGAGCATTTTAATATCCATGTTTTCTTTACTTTGTCACGGTTGTTGGTCAAAAAGCAGCTCATGTGTTGAAAGCTGAAGGTGAGAGAAACATCTGGATGCTTTTATGTTGACAACTTTCCAGGACATAGACAGTGCTTTAGCTTTACATTAACGTACAATGTCCTTCACTTGTTGTTTACATTTACTTACAAAAATGAGAGAACACATTATTATGACTGGAATAGCCTTTTCAGTTGTTGGTCATGACCTGTAGAGTGAACAACAGAGAACACAAATTAAAACACTTTCAAAGTCAAGCCTTCTGTTAACTTCAGGTCTCGCTGTTTATGCTTGTAAGGTAATCACAAAACTCTTCCTCACCCAGTTGATCCAGTCGATGTAGGAGCTGACTTGTGTGAAGACAGTGGGCTTCTGGAAGACGTTGCAGCCCTGACCGGAGCCGAAGCTCACCACACCGTGGACGTCCCAGGAGCCATCAGGGTTCTGGCAGTTCAGGGGGCCACCGGAGTCTCCCTGTGGGTCGACACGTGTACTGTTGGCTGGCCGCTCATGTACAGACACTAACTGGTAAGTCTACCTGGCATTGCTTTGTCATGCAGAATCTTGGTTTCACTCAAAGTAACCTTCTCATGAATCCCCATCTTTTGCGCTGGAAATGGAATTTTTATTGAGGCCGTACCTGTCTGCTACATTTGACTTAGATTATTGTCACATCTACAGATGACCTGTCCTCAAATTTATTCATACCCTCCCATTAAAGAAGGAAAAAAAACAGCTGTCATTGAAACAAGTTGAAATTGACAGAAGTAATAAGAATAAAAATTTAATGAAAATGATGATAATAATAAAAAAAAAACAACAAGCATGATGGGACCTGTAAAGTAATATTTTGTTGAACAACCCTTTCAGCCAATCGCTGCAACTCTGTAACTCTCAATCAGACTTCTACACCTGTTGACAGGTGTTTGGATTTCACTGCTCATCAGCAAAGTGCTCTAGTTTGTCCGGCACAGTTTTTTTTATTTTTTTTTTTAATTATTCTTTTCAACCACAATTCAAAAGCAATGTCTTATTTCGCTAAATTTTAATTTAGCAAATTTTTATTTATTATTACTTTTTTCAGTTTCTAGTTACTCAAGTGACTAGTGTGAATTTTGCCTTTTATTTAAGGGAAGGGTATGAATACACTCGAGGACGACTGTATGTACTTACATTACAGCCTGCAGTGATGCCATCTCCTCCAGCGCACACCATCTTGTCTGTCGCCAGCACGCTCCACCAGTCGGGCTGTGAGCAGACATCGTGTCCAACCACGGGCAGAAGAGCCTGCTGCAGGATGTCAGCGAGAGAACCACTTGCTGGGGGAAGCAAACATAATGAACAGAGGTAAGATATAAAAAAGTTTTTATCTTCAAGGAGGATCATCATGTCTATGGTATAAGATATCCACCCACGCTTTCTATAAGGTGTTAGTGCCAGTGGCAGCAAGACGAGCCAAAGTAAGTTAAGTCAAAGTGTTATCCCGAATAATAAAGTGTGGGTTGTATTTCCTTTTCTGTTGACAGAATACACATCTGAATAAACTGTGAGTTTCCTGTTGTTGTGAGCAAGATTCATCCTGGTTACTGAAGCCAAAACTATGACCTCATTGCATTTGTGTTCAGTCATTTCAACATGTGCAAAGTAGCTGCTTGAATAGGATCAGTTGTCTTTTGTTTTTGTTTTTTTTTTAAGTATCTTGATCCTTAAATATATGGGTAAGTCAGGATAAAGATGTCAGACTCAAAGGTCAGTAGCAGCAGTAGGAGGCATTGTTGCCTCATAGTCCTGCTTGCTGAGTAGTTTAATGAGTATTCATCACATTTTGTGGACCAGCTAGTGGTTGAGAATTATTCTACCTTGCTGGTGTGCACAGAAACTCGCAATAAAAGGCACAGGATGATTGAGTAATATTCAGATTATTTGGTAATTATGTCGTGATCAGAGGGGCGTGAACTCACTGGAGAGTCGACCCCAGCCAGTGACGTAGCACTGGGCACCGTGGGGCAGGATGGCGTCCTGGTCTGGAAGGCAAGCGGCCATGATCGTGTCAGAGAAGGTGACCGGGGAGGACAGCTTTATCAGGGCAATGTCGTTTCTGCAAATGGCAAAACAATTCAGGGAGTCAAGGTGAAGAGAATGTGATACATGCAGATAGATAGATAGATAGATAGATAGATAGATAGATAGATAGATAGATAGATACTGTATTGCCACTGATTGCCTCTCTCCACTCCTGAGGTGATGCTGAGCTGTGTGAGTTGCTGCTACCTGCTCAGCATAACACTGTAGTCGTCATGAGTGATGATGGTAGCTGCCTTCGACGCTATCGAGCCCTCCTCGTTCACCTTCAGGCTGTGTTTGCCCAGCTCCACTCTGTAGTTGTAGCGGTCACTATGGGATTGGCAGTTGACATGGTATTAGCTTGGGGGTTTTAGATAGTGGTGTTGATTGTTCTCCCTGTGTGCACAAAACTGTGATTAAGCTTAAGGTGGACTGCAGCTGTGCAGAGGTAATACATGGTTGTTTGGGCGGCCAGACGACCTGAACTGGCTTTGACATCACGTGCTTTTTGTGAGCCATTTGTTTTTTGACTGAAAAATTCTCCTCACTGTGCAGGTTGAGCTTCTTTACATAAAACTCATTTATTGTTCTGTTCGTTAATGATAGGCATTGGTGCTGATGATAGAAGGACCACTCTGTTCATGTGTTCAGCAGCTTTTACAAAAGCAGAAAAAGGAAAACAACAACATATTCTGTTGGACAGAGCAGCACTGGCTTTCAATGTAGATTATTTAAGCACTACTTAATTAAAATCAATGCTAAACACTGTATTTCTTAATTACTTAAAACTGCCATGGATTGTCAATTCAGCAGTAGTACACTAAGTTTTCCACCTTAACTTTGTTTCCTTTTGAAAAAAACACAACTTTGGTTTGTAATTTGAATTATTCTGGCAACGTTCCCGGTAACATTGACTTAAACTCACTTGATGCAGTGTGCAGCAGAGAGGACCCAGTCAGCGGAGATGAGGGTGCCTCCACAGACGTGTCTCCAGCGCCCACTGCTGTCCGACTGGAGGGAGACCTGAAAAAAGAGAAAAATACACAGTGCTTCACAGATGTAACAGACCACCACCCAGTGTAAGGTTTATGCCACAACTGCCCTAAATTAGCAGCATTGCTAATTACCAAAACCATTTTTTTTTATGTTTCTGTAATGGTTAATAAAGCAGTATGTAGAAGCTCTTTAACCAGAATGATATTTTTAATGCTAGAATATTATTATTATTGTTGTCCATGAATTTTCAAAGTTACCATTTTACAAAAAACAAAAATAGTAAAGCACATTATTATTTCTTGATTAAGATGTTGAATTATTGTCATTCCTGAGCAGAAAAATAAGTTTTCGTGGTTGGATCTTATGCTGATTTATTTCTATCTTCTCAGAGAAGTCAAGTGAGGCACCTCAAATTTGGGTATAAAAAGATGAACTCAGGGCGCCCCTACAGCTCACCTAGTTGAGCAGGCAACCCATGAACAGGGGCTATAGATCCCCGATGCAGCTGTCATGGGTTCACAGGTCTGCAGGTCTCTCCCCCATTCTTCTCCCCCCTTTCCTGTCTACCTCTACTATCTGTAATGCTTAACAAATTAGACAGGTGGTCTAATAAATTTGCTAATCACCGTATATATAATAAATTCATTCTATCCTCTTATATCTGCTTGCAAAGACAAATCATGTGAGTTTAGACAAGCTTCAGAGATGTGTAAAAACAAGGGTCCCTTTTTCTATCAGGAGTTGTAAAATGAAAACGTGGAGTCCGTGCTGTTCTATGGTTGTCAAAGTGAACACATTTTAACCAGAGCTTACCTGCCAGGGCCAGCTGTGAGGCCTGACGTCCTCTCCCGCCACCACCCTGTTCAGCACAGGAGGAAAGGTGGGACGACCACACCCATAGGCTGGAACGACGGTGGTAATGTCAGAAATGACATTTTCCTATTGCTTTGTGCAGCTCACTAAATAGTAACTTACAAAACACACATGCACTGATAATGCAGCATGATGTTTAAGACACATGTTTTGATTATCAAACCAGACTAAACATGAGAAACAGGACTGTAAGTTCAGAAGTGCTTCAACAATTAAACAACATTAATTTAACTTGTGATTGTGACCTTACAAGATTAATAACCACTGAGTTTTAATTCATGTGAGAAGATTGAAACTCTCTTACCGCTAGCTGCCACGAAAGCAAGAACCAGGAGCCTCCTCATGACTGATGAGGGGTGTTTGAGGGTATGCTAAAGCTCATTTTAACAAGGGTCTTGTATTTATACTGAATGCAAGGAGCATCTGTCCAGTGTACAGACTGTCCTGGGAAACCTGGTCAACACATGCAGAAAGTCAAACAAATGCTGGGGACTGAGGACGCAGCGGGTGGTTGGAGATAGGAAGTTCCCATCAGTGTTTCCACTGGTGAAAATGAGAACCTATTTTCCTCTTCAAGTGTCACTGATGAAACTTGATGTATGTGTCAGAGTACAAGTAGCTAAATATTCAGAAGCAGTTATACTTTATTGCTTTTCTTTTTTTTTGGTAAATCCCTGTAATTAAAATAAAGCAACACACAATCTTGACCTTTAAACACATTTATTGTTCCACATATATAAGTGCACACAGTAGTTTTAATCCTCGAGGGCTGTTCTCTCAATAGGCCACCATGTTCTGTAAAAGAGAGCATACCGACATGTTAGATTCTTTACACACACAAAAAAATCATTGTAGTGTTCATGACTTGAACCCTGCAGTGGTTGACTTTTAGGTTCATATCTTACGGCGCTGATCCAGTCCATGTAGGCGCTGACTCTGGTGAAGACGGTGGGCTTCTTGATGAGGTTGCAGCTGAGCCCGGAGCCAAAGCTGACAATCCCGTGAACCTCCCAGGCACCGTTACTGTTCTGACAGTTCAGAGGGCCGCCAGAGTCTCCCTGAGTCACGTAAGAGGAAAATATATGATGAGTGTGCATATTCTGCATTTAACAGTAACCTGCAGACATAGAAAGATGCAGAGTGAGCGTGCTCAGTGTTTACATCCAACATTACTCGTGATACCTTACAGACATCCCATCACATTTTTAGAGCGGTTAACTGACACTGCCCCTCTGGCATACTGTTCACTATCCACAAAAAAGGCTATTTAGGAGAGATGGCTGTCAAATGCTGGGGGAAAGCAGTATACAATTTCATACAAACAAATCTCAGTTAAAGTATTAAAATGTAATAGAACAGAGGAATTAAAGTTTGTACGTGTAACAGTTTTTTAATTATTCAAATTGATTGCTCGGTGTGGCCAAAATTTCAAAACCTAAGGTATTTAGTTTTAAGACTTTTGTTTTAAGGATAATAAAAACAGCCAATATTCATGTATGAGAAGCTGAAACCACTGAAGCAATGAATTCTTTACTAAAATAATTTGTAGTTGCTCTGCTTTGTTTTATTCCCTGTATCTAGTGTGACACGTTGTGCCAGAGGTCTATGCAGAAGTGACTGAAAAAATAAATAATACCATGTAAAATACACATACTCTTTTCTCTGCATTAAGTACAAACTTAACAAAAATACATAAATCTTCTTAACTTTTTGCAAACTCATACAGTGGTTGAGGAAACATGATTGTAATTTTATGGGTCTATTTTGCTAATACAGGAAAGTATTTATGCAACAGTGTGGTGGAACTTGACTGTACACAGTAATATGATTGTGTCCTTCATTATTTTAGACTCACGTTGCAACCGGACATGACTCCGTCTCCACCTGCACAGACCATGGTGTCCTTCACCTGAAAGCCCCACCAGTCAGACTTGCTGCAGGTAGCGTGGTCCACGACGGGCAGGAGAGCCTGCTGCAGGATGTCAGCGATGGGACCTCCAGCTGTGTGGAGAAGAGACGTATAGAAGGTCAAGTTTAGCTCAGGTAAAACCTAATGAGAAAGATGTTGCATCTATGTATAGCAAAGAGTCAAACTTTATCATTGTCCATCCACCCAGCTGTTGTAGATGTTAAGACGCCAAAGATGAACATCTCTGTTTCTATTCTGAACGGAGACCTTTGCTACATGTCAGACACTATGTCTCTTGAATCATTCTGTCATTAACATGTTGTCCAAATCATTACAAAAAACAAATGCAGTCTTTTAAACACCCACTTAGTAGATTTGCCTTCACACTACATGCAGAATACCTCTATAGCTGTAGTGTAGAAACTAAAATACTAAGATAACAAAACCTTTTTTTCTTAGACTGTGACCATATTAGCTGCATATTTTTTGTACAATGAAACATTCTTCTACTATCCTAAATAGTAAGAAGCTATTATTATTATCAACAACACTTTCATAATCATCATCATCATCATCATCATCATCATTATCAGCAACAACAACAACAACAATAATAACACTAATATTAATATTAAAGCGCTTGGCTGCTGCCTTTGCACTTCTGATTAGATGCTAAACATTTCATTGTCTTAGTCCTTGTACTCTGTGCAGGGACAACAAAGTTTAATCTAATCTAAATCCAGTCTATTCGTATCAAACCTCCCTTAATTATGCATCTTTTAAGAGAATGCAAATCAGATTGTAGCACCCAACAAATAATGGCACTATTATCTGCAGATATTTTAGCGATCCAACCTAATTAAATTCAACTGAGTTTGACCCAAAGAGAGGAAATAAACTCACTGTAGAGGCGACCCCAGCCAGTGACGTAGCAGGGTTCGTCATGGTTCAGGATGGCGCCGTCAGTGGGAAGACAAGCAGCCATGACAGTGTCAGAGAGGACAACAGGGGACTGCAGTTTGATCAGGGCGATGTCATTGCTGGAGAAGAAACACATTCGACTTCATCAAAGGCCCAACATGCTCTTATCATTGCCTGTGATGCTTATGTAAACTCTCTGTTTGATTTTCAAGTCTCACAGTTTATAACTAGACTCATGGCGAGCGGTGACACTTTACCGAATGAACAGGGGGTTCCACTTCTCGTGCACAATGATGTCAGCGGTGGCCATGTACACTTCGCCCCCCTCTGTATCCTTCAGGTTGTGCTTTCCCATGGCCACTCTGTACTCCCTGCCATTGCTGCAGGTTTTTCAGAGCAAATCTGTGTTAGTTCATTTCTGTAGCTGTCTTCAATACTCAATGATTAGCTAATTATGCAGAATTTTAAGCAGATCAACACATATTTTCATCCACTTTTGAGTTCTAAAAGTTTTGTCATCTGAAGACAAGCAAAGAAATGTGTGAACGTGAATGAAGTCAGAATATATTAGAGGCAATTTATGAGTAGCTCCGTACAGCATCGTGTTACTGATCACTATTCTAGACATTTGCATCAGTGCTGCATGGAGGTATCATGTTTCATACCTGATACAGTGAGCAGCAGTGAGGACCCACTGGTCAGAGATCAGAGTACCTCCACAGGTGTGTCTCCACTCTCCCTCTCTGTTGTACTGCAGGGAAATCTAAAACATGCACAAACATACAGGGAATTATCTCAAAGTTAGATTTTTAACCGTTTAACCGGTGCTCTTTTTAGCAAATTGTGTTGATGAGATGATGGGATGTGCCCTGATGGGACCTCAACTTTATCCAAAACAAAACAAAAAATCCTTTTGCAGCAATTTAATTCATTCATTCATTCATTCATTCATTTATTTAAATCTGTGGCAAGTTGTTGCTGCACTGGAGTCACACTAGCCTGCATTTTTTCCTTTTTTTTGGATTTTTATTCATATAATTTCATTTTATTTGTATCATTGTTGTTCTGTTTTAATTTATCTATTTTCATTTGCAATGTAAAAATTCTAATGCACTGATTTGCCTTTTAAGAAGCACTTTGAAATTGTGCTGTGTTTGAAAGGTGTTCTATAAAAGAATGAAAATTCCTTTTTTTCTTTGGTAAATTTTCTGTAACTCCACATTGCTCACAATGACCAGTACTTTAGTCTATTAGTCACACTCTGTACTCAGACATGAGACTTCTCAGCGTGTTCTTTACCTGCCAGGGCCAGCTGTGAGGCTGGACATCCACTCCTCCAACCACACGGCTCGCCAAAGGGGGGACGGCAGGCAGGCCGCACCCATAGGCTGAGAGGGAATATGAGAAAGACTTTTTTAAAAGTGCAATATGGGATCACACAGAGATTAATCTGAAAGTTAAAAAATACCAACTTTTCAGCAAGAAAAAGATCCTTACCGCCAGCAACAAAGAGAGCGAGAACCACGAGCTTCATCTTATCTGTATCTCCACAGTTTGCTGCTAACATCTGACATATTTATACCATTCACAGTCTTATATAACCTACAAAAACAGTTTCAAATACTAGGAAATTTGCCCATTGACAAATACAATGCTGGGGTGGAGCTTAGTGAACATCAAAAGTGTCAGGAATACTAGGCCAAGGCCAAAATGTTTTGGAATTCAGTACATTAATTTTAAACTTGTTTGGTGAACCTATCAGTGGAATTAGTTTTTTTTTAGTTTTCCATAATAATGTTCAAATAAACAACCTTATTACATATAAAATGTACCACTCCCTACTTTGATTTCCTTCCGAAAGAAAAATATGGCCTCCTTCAGAACCTAAAGATTCCTACTGATGGCACAGGAGAAGCAATAAAACTCAATTGTTTACTATGTGATTCATTCATATCAATTCCCAACCTTCCTTAAAAAAAAATATTAATAACACAAACATAATAATATTCTATTCTGATGATCCTGTTAATAAAATAAACATGTTTTATCATTTCCCATTTAGGAAATTTTATGCATGGGCTATAAAACGTAATGTTTCCCCGGCTTTATGTAGTTTAACATGTTTATTAGAATTTCCAAAAATGTATAAATGTGCACGCTTTATTGCATACCAGACCAGAATTGTAGTTTTTATTGAAGTGAACATTGTGTAGTTTCACATATACATATTTTTTAATGAATCAGCGTTTAACATCCTTTCTTACTATCAAGTGAAAAGATCCGACCAGCTCAGGAGGCATGTGTGTGGTTCACACAGTAGCAGAGGTGAGGAGATAAGGCGTATTTGGAGATGTCTGTGGTTACTTATCTCCAAGGTTGATTTTTTTTTCCCTCCCCACCAACTTTACTTTGTCCTGTTAAGGTAAATGCTGAACCGTACATCTGTAAAGACATATGTTAAAGCACTATATAAGGAGACGCATCACTCCGAGCTCCTGCAGAAGACAGTCACCATGAAGTTCGTGATCTTGGCTTTGTGTGTTGCTGGTGGTAAGCTAATGACGCTTCTCTGTTTAGAAAACGACATGTGTTGCTGCAAATCAGGAGATACATCTGAGAATTTTATATTGTTGTATTATAGTGTTACGACACCAGCAAAAAATCACTGTATTTAAATGTGCCTGTGCATAAGCTTTGACACACACTTATTACTATTCCTCAGGCTTATTCTTATAGATTAGTCCAACACGATTTTTGGTGCCTAACTCATCCCTCAGCTTTGAGAAAAACTTCTATTAATTATATATCAAAACAGGAATGGTGTGCTCTGTCTTTTTGTCATACGATTTTTACGAAATTCATAAATAGTTGCTGAACAATTGATAAAAGCCATCTTTGGAACCCTGTAGCTCTGGTGTATTTTACAGTAGAAACTTTAGCATTTTAACGGACCATAGGGCTTTGAATGTTATTTGTCTAAATACATGTTTTGATAACTTTTGCAGTTTTCACACAGTTGCAGTTTAAGTTTTACAAGTTAAAACAAACAAGATTGTGCTTCACACGGTAAAAGGATTTTTTTCAATACGACTTATAGTTTTTGAGTTGTGACCATTTGTTCGAAGGGATAATCTTATTCTGTGTCTACTTCTCCCCCCCCCCTGCCGTTCCTCTTCCATGAAAGGGCGGGAATCACCATAGCAACCAGTCACTCACAGGCTTGACTGGCTGAATGATAATGGAGTGAGACAGAAGGACACATGGCTGCCTTTATAAGTGGTCGATAATGTTATCGTGTGCTCTGTCAGCAGGATATAGCTAACAGCAATCGAGGCAAATCACACAGCTGTTACTAATGATATTAACAAGATCCTGATACATGTTCCAACATGTCCCAGACCAAAATCCATAGAGTGTTTAGTGACCCTCCAAATCTGCTGGGTTAAATTGCTAAAAAAGAAAAAACAAAGCGTCTCTCACAGGTAACAGTGGTTTAAATATCTATAGCAGCTGCACATTGTTTTGTTCTTTAAAAATGAACAAGACTTTAACAAGGCTAAGAGAAAGAAGTTCCTGAATATGGACTTTTCAAACTAAAAGCCCCGAGTAAACTGAAAAAAAGTATACAGGATACATAAAGGTACACTACACCGTCAAACTAAAAGTTCTGAAATGCTGCAAAAGGTTGACTGTGGACTGAAAAAAAAATGCTAGCGTTTCAAATAAAATGTACTTATGTGTAATTATATTGCAACACTGACAATTTCTTCAGACATGTCCTTGTTTCTGTTGTTCTCTCCCAGCCTACGGGTGCGGCCTTCCCACCTACCCCCCCATCCTCAACAGAGTCGTTGGTGGAGATCAAGCCCGTTGGCACAGTTGGCCCTGGCAGGTATGCTTTTTTTTAAGCATTTATTTAAAATTCAGTGTCTTCCTCATGTCACAAAACATTTAATTGTCACCATTTGTTCTCTTCAGGTGTCTCTGCAGTACCAGAGTGGCAGCTACTTCTACCACACATGTGGTGCCACTCTGATCTCCAGTCAGTGGGTCCTGACTGCTGCTCACTGCATCGGGTATGACTTCAACTTTAAAGACTTCAGACATTAGGTGCAAATATGCAGAGGACAAAGACAGACTAGACATATGGAAGACTGGGTACTACTTGAAGCAGGCTTATAGAGGCAATATGGTGGGGGGGGGTAATGGAGTTGCAATGGTATACATACTTGAACTTTATCATTAACAGCCTAATAAGTTACATACACAGAACTGGAACAGCAATGTCAATTACTTTATAAAATGAAGTATGCGTCAATGAGCTGTGGTCACTGTAGGAGTGAAACATTTTACAAAAGCTATTGGACAGTTATTAGAGTATTAGTAAATGGCAATGCAATTCTATTATCACCATGAATAAAATACTGATTTAGTGACTTTCAGAGTTAAATGAAGTCTTCATGGTTGCAGCAGCCATTCTGTACTAATGTGATGTTAGCAGAGGTAACTGTTTCGATGCTACTTTGGTACAGCTTTGTTCTGAGAGATTAAGTGTCACATTTTATTAGATCTATATGACTTAAATGTTTGTTTCTCTGCTTTTTGTGGCCAAGCAGCAGTCGCACCTACAGGGCCTACCTGGGAAAACACAATATTAAGCTTAGCAGCGAGTCTGGGTCCATCGCCATCAGCCCTGAGAGAATCATCGTCCACGAGGACTGGGACTCTGTCAAAATCCAGTGGGTCATAATATGTAACCCACAACATACGATGGGCTGGATATGCTGCTGTATACTTTACTCATGTTATTGATGCTCACCTCCAGAAACGACATTGCCCTGATCAAGCTGTCAACTCCCGTGGAATTCTCTGACACAATCATGCCCGCCTGTCTTCCCAATTCTGGTGAAATCCTGCCTCATGACAGTCCCTGCTACGTCACCGGCTGGGGACGTCTCTGGAGTAAGTTCTTTGAGATAAATAAAATGATCCACTGCTAACGAAGGCTGCCAAAATAATATCCTGTCATATCTGTAATGTTTAATCAACTTAATTATGTAATTTGTGCTGACACAGCGTCTCACATGTTTTTCTCAGCAGTTCCCCTCCTTCTTCTTTCAGTTTTAAAAATACATGAGGAATATATTGTACAGGACTCAGGAGGTTAATTAGCAGCCGAAAAATCACTGGTTGTTAATTTCAAAGGCGATCAAGTGGTTGAATCTGCATTCAAGATCCTTTTTAGTTTTGTCCTGTTTTTTGTTTTTTTTTCTTTACCTCAGTGCTATGACTTTAACTTCTCAGTATTTTAAAAGTCTGAACTGAATCTGTGCCTCATGGAGCTAATTTAGGAACTGACTCAGCCATGATTGTGACGCAGCACCGAATCTGAGTGCCCTTTGTTCTCTTTTAAAGCTGGAGGTCCTCTTTCCAACACCCTGCAGCAGGCCCTCCTCCCCGTGGTGGACCACTCCACCTGCTCTAGGCCTGACTGGTGGGCAAATCTGGTCACCAACAACATGATCTGTGCTGGAGGAGATGGACTCCTGGGTAGCTGCAATGTGAGACACATTAACTTTATATATTAGACTTATGCCACCTGCAGATGTAGCGTGACTACACTTTATGATTAACATTTTGCACTCGTTTAGACCACCAAGTAAACAGAAAATTAACAAATATTTGAAGATGAGTGAAGATTATTAAATTAATTAAACCTACTTGTATTGATCAGTCTTATAATCAGAAGTGGTGAACTCTGATTTCATTGACCTCCTCAGATTTGCTGGATGAGTTGGTTCAAGAATGCAGAGAAAGGATGGCACATCTGCATAGTTGCATTAAAAAGTGTGTCGAGTAAATGTACTAAGAGTCAAAGCTCATAGTTACAAAGAAAACGTTTTTGCTTTTGCATCGAAGAAGTTAACGTAAGAAGTCCCAGTTTGAGTAAAACAAAGTAAAAACAAAACCCCATAAGAAGAAGAACCCTTAAAAAGCCAAAGTTAAATAGTAGAAAGCCTTGTTTAAGTAAAATACCCTCACTGCATTCCAGTTGCTTTCTTTTATACAGAAAGTTGGAGGCAAATTCAAGTTAGCATCCAACCAATCGTGGACGTTTTTTTCCCCATTGGAGATCTTGAGCTTAACTGTCCATGAGAGGTCAGAGGCCAAATACTTTTAGTCCTTAATCTGAATTAATTTCTTAAACTAAATTGTGCATTGTGCCAAAAAAAGGTACAATAATTGCAGATCTAAAATTCCAGTGAACATGTAAATGATATCAAACATGATATATTTATCTCATATGGTTCCTGACATAATTAAAAAATGTAAACATGCATACAAAGTGTGGAATTTCATGGTACATGACGGTAAACTTTTAATACAATAACTAAGAACACAAGCATTCAACAACAAGAAAAATAAGACTTAAGAAGTATATATGCTGAGGATAAAAGGTCTCTCTGTCTTTATTGGCTATGACAGAACCACAGGGAGTGTTTGTCTTTCGCGTGGGTTCGTGTCCTTTACAAACAGATGTGAGGTGTTCTCTTCACTGTTGGTCCTAATCAACCTGGTATCATAGAATGAGTCCAGATGTTGGGATCATCACTCCAGCGATGCTGGATTTCCTTAATTTTGGGGATTTTAAACTGTTCAGTTCATTCCTGTATAGAAGGTTCTGGGTGTTAGGGAGAGAGAAAGGTCAGGAGGTCACAGTAGAGAATGTAATCTCCTCTTCTCCAGAGGTGTGGCTATCTTCAGGATTACCTCCTGTTGTCTCTCGAGTGGTCGTTTTGATGTAAACATCCGACTTATGTGTTCCATTTGGGTGAAAGTTTTAGCTGTATTCTCAAATGGTCTCCCACCAAATTTCTTTGTGTGTCTCTTGGGAATGTGCCTGATGTCCTGTTCCTCAGTACGCGACACACTTTTGAATCCGGTTCCAACAAAGCAAAACCCTGCCTTGTACTTAAACATATCTCTATATTGAGTCGTTGTAACTTTGTGTTAGGGACATTTGTGTTAAAAAGGTGCTTTCCACCTTCTGAGCAATTCTTTTTTTACCTAATATCACATTCATCTCTTCTGTCCTCAGGGAGACTCTGGCGGTCCCCTGAACTGTCAGAACCCTGATGGTTCCTGGGATGTCCACGGAGTGGTGAGCTTTGGCTCCAGCTTGGGCTGCAACTACAAGAAGATGCCCTCTGTCTTCACCAGAGTCAGCGCCTACATCTCCTGGATCAACAATGTAAGTTCAAAAAACATTTGATTCTATTGTTTCTATATGGCTGTATTTGAAGGGAGGAATTGCATTTTTAAGTTTGGTAAAATACTGTATACTGTAGTATACCAGTCCTAATCTTTTTTTTTTTTTTTTAACTTCAACTACTCAGTGGCTCAGAGTGGCAATGTGATTTAGAGCTACAGATACCTGTTGTAGTCCATTTAATAATTTTAAAACATTCTCTTTATGTTTTTTTTTCCAGGTGATGACAAAATACTAAGATGTGGATTGTTCTTTGGTGTATATAGCTGGTGGCTGCACCGTAAAATAAAGAATGGAGCGCTTAATAAAACATTCTCTGTGTTTTCTTAATCAGACATCAAAATGGTATTAAAGCTTTAAGGAAAAATTTTAGAAAAAAGAAAAAAAAAACACAAAAGTGATGTAGCTCTCCTCCTGCAGCTCTTCCATCCCCCCTCCATATCATCAATTCAAATCCCAGCTTCAAAAGTGAAAGTTCACCATCCTAGTCACTGCATCACCACATCCTATTCTCACGGTGGACTCCTTATACCACCTCATCTGATCACTGTTTGGCTAATATCGCCTGACATTGGATACATTTTTTAAAGTCTGAAAACAGAGCCAGGAAGAGGTGCAGAGATCTAGTTTCCTCTTGTTTATATAAAATATGCTATGGGGTTGTTCTGGATTTTCAGCCCAGTTATGTGAAAATACTGCTTGCCTGAGCTTTATTCTGTTGGTCACAACAACTTTCCTGAGAGGATTGTTTGACTCCTATGTTCCTGTCAGCATTTATCAGGAGACGTACCAGACATACCAGATTTTAAAAGGACTCAGAATATAATAGACAGGCTTCTACTCTGATGATTTCTGAAATGCTAAATATATATATTCAAGCTAAATTCATCTCTTAGAAAAGAAATGAATTGAGCAGATATTTAACAACCAAATGAAAACTTGCATTATCAGAAGAGGAAGGTATTATTTTGTCACCTTATGACAAACTCTTCTAGAGCTCAACTTTGAAGCCTTTATCCTTTATTAAATCAAACCTCAAGTTTGACTCCTTCAGTTTGTTAGTTCCCGACCTTCTTTGCTGTTCCTGTGTTGCTTTCGGGTTTTTTTTTTTTTCAGGTCTTCACCTTAGTTAAATAGCTGGTTACACTACAGAATGAGGGCATGCATCTTTTCTCGTAGCACCAGATCACATTCATCTGCAACACTTCTGAGGCAAAACAAGCCAGAATGCTTTTAAATCTGAAAACAGCAGCTGTAGTTATGTAAACATAAATATTATATCTGTCTTTCTCACCTGTGCATAACTGATGAAAACTCTAACAAAGGAGGCTAAAAGGTTTTAGGTGAAACGTTTCCTCTTTCTGCCTCTGCATAGTTGACCTTTGTGGTAAAACCCTGTAGTGCAGTTTCAGGTAGATGGTGCACAACAGAAATCACCAATAAACAGATGTGTTGTGTCTGATAGGAAGGTGACTGAGGATTAAATGCTGATGTTCACAAACCTATAGTGCAACACATAAATCTGCAATACACAAAAGCCGACAGGGCGATGAGACAACAGAAGAAGAACAAGTTCAGAATCTTCACAGAGGTACCTGGGAACATATTGAACAACAAGGAGCAGGTTACTGATAACAATTAGATTTTTAATGGAGTTCCAAAACTCTGCATATATATACGTATAGTAATGCATGCATGTTGGATATGACATTAGTATCAAATTAATTACAAAATGTCAAACAGTCAAACAGATTGGAAATCTTCACAGAGTTACCTGGGGAGATATTTACCAGGTATCTGGAGGAGTTTGCCGATAACAATTTTTTATAGAGTTTTTAAAATCTGCATGTATAGCAATGCATGCATATTTGGTGTGGCTTTATTATGGAATTGTTCGAATAAAATACTCAGAGAGGTACCTGGGGACATATTGAGCACAAATATGGTAGAGTTTGCTGTTAACAATTTGATTTGTTATATGTTATATGAACTTTTTCAATAGTGTTTTGAAATCTGCATGTATAGCAATGCATGAGCATTTGGTTTGACTTTAGTATTAAATTAATTACCAAATATCAAACAATTAAACAAGTTGGAACTCATCACATAGGTACCTGGGGAGATATTGGAGAGTCTGTTGGCAACAATTTGCTTCCCCCCCCCTAAATTTGATTTGATGTTTAAGACAATAAAAATAAAAAAAATAAATAAAGGTTCCATTCTTTACGAGATGCACCTGAACGCACCATGAAGCGCACATTGTCCTATTCTCTAACATGATTTAAACCTCCATTTGGTCGTTTTTTTCCTCGTCCGCTTTAATAGTTTGAATCTTTAATGTACTGGGGGAAACATTTATGACCCAACATTCGTTAGAATTGTCGCAAAGGCTTCATCATTTAACCTTTAGTCCAGAGAAACAGATGAGAAGGGACAAACAGCGAAGAAGAAACAGTCGCCATGTTTTTTTAACCTTCGCCTGTCCGCCAGTCGAATTCTCCCAGAACATCTCCGACAGGTTCAACTCCAGCAGGTTTGTTTACTTACTGTTTTCCTTTTAAGCATCATCAAAGTGAATAGTTAGCTAGCTGAAGCTAACCCGTGGAAGTCCCTAAAACGGTTTTGTCCATATTGAAAAGCAAATGAACGGTCAGAAGTTAGTTTTTATTAGGCGTCAGAGGAGGAAAATGAAGCATATTTCTCGTCTAAAATCGACTTTTCTATTGGCAGACTTTTATGTCGTTTAAGCTAATATTGCTGAATTCCCTGTTAGAACAGTTTTTGAACATTTGAAAGACATTTGACGTCAACAGTGTTAAGTCGAAACCGAAGCTAATCTGTGCTAGCTCTTAGCTAGTCTGAAGGCAGAACGTCACTCCTAGAATAGGCGCCATAGAACCAATAAAACAGGCGAACCTCTGCTCTCACTTCCGCTCTGCGCTTCCGGTGAGTGTCACATTCAAACGTGAGGGAAATTGAACACAAACGAGTATGTTTTATCTTAACTCGTAGATTTAGCCATTATCTTTAGTTCATCATTTAACATTTTGATGACAAAAAGTTGATGTTTTTCGGTAGAGAAGCTGATGAAACGTGCCAACTAGATGGTAAATAACCGTCATTAATGATTATGTGACACGAGATCTTGGTGAGGTGTGTTTTTTCTCTTCTTTTTTTTGTTGAAACAAGAAAAATGTGCTAACGTAAAATGAAGACACTTTACACAGAGATGTTCTGGGAGCAGCCAGGGCATTCCCAATCCCAAGTTTGAGTTCCAGCTGAATGGTGTCATTTAGTCTGATCAGGACCTCCATGTTGCCATACATAGAATGTCTCTGGGGGTCCATTGGACTCCAAGAATATGTGCAAAATAATTGTTGGTATTCATTACAGACTTTTATGTGACGTTAAATACATTCTCTGATAAGTTGACATATTTTTGGCTCCATATGTATGACAAATGCCCCTCGTTTTATATTTAAAAATGAAATCTTTAAAAATCAAAAAACAATACCTGTCACCTAAACCAAATGGCCTGGGGTCCAAAAGACCCCAAAAGTCCTGAATAGAGTTAAGAAGAAGCCATGTGAGGGTCAGACCAGTGAACCCAGACAGGTTCAGGGGGACGGTTCTGAGGACAGCAGGACCAGTCCAGCAGCTGTAGCCCATCATCAGCACCAGGTGACACGCAGAGCAGGACAGACAGACATTCCTCAGAGCAAATTAAGAACAATATTGTTAATATAAAAGAGGAGAGCATTGTGTTTATGTGTGTATTCACATGTATGTATCATTGTAATTTACCTTGAGCCATCAGGCTGTTACTAACTTCACTGTGAATCAGTCTGAGTGTCACGAGTTGCTTTTGAAAGAAGCAACTATTGTACATTCCATATTGTACAAGTACGTTCTGACCAGAAACCTTTTCCAGATCATGTTTGTTTTGTTAGATCTATCTAATCAGGTTAGGTCTATATTTAGTCATACAATGTGAGTACAAGTAGAGAACACTTCTCGAGAAATTGCTATAGGCTACATCTACAAATAGCGCAGTAATTGGGTGCCTCCCAAAATATAGCATTGGCCCCCCCTAAAAGTAAAATCTAGAATCGCCACTGTAGGTGTCGCACATGTTGCGACACTGAAAGAGCGGACATATAAGTTCCAGTGCAGTTTTACAATGTTAGATAAATTTACATAGTCAAGCTGCCAGTTTGTACTTCTTGTGCAACAGCTGGATGCAGAAAGCAGGTGTACATGGTAGTAGTGTGGTTCAGGCTGAATATCTGAAGTCAGTGAAGCACACATTCCCATAGTGACTTTAAAAAAAAAAAAAGAAAAGCATCCAAAATAATCAGTTATTGTTGCAGGAGTGTGCATGTCCTGTTTTCACGCTGTCAGATAGAAGTACATCATTAGCAGAAAGTGGCCACAATCATCCCAATCATGCAGCTGCAAAGTTGAGAACAAGTGTCAGGCCTAAACTTCTTGTACTTGTGTGTGATTCTAACCAGTGCAGAGCTGTGTGTGTGCTTGTCTAGTGTGAAAGGCAATATAACTCTGAGGTTTAAAATGTGAGGTTGATTTACCAGAGATGATGATGTCAGTGGTGCCCATGAAGACAGCACACAAATCTGCAGTTGTCTTGAAAACACAATCATTAAGAAATGATGCAGCATTTTTTTTTCAGATCAACAAGCATTTTCAGCCACTGTTTAGGCCTGAAAGTTTTATCTGAAGAAGTAAAGAAATGTGCTCGTAGGTTGAGATTTACCCACCAGCTAATCTGCTGTCACCTGATTGAGAGACTTGAATCAAGTTGAAATGTATTGGAGCCAATTTACACCATGTCACTGACATTTGTGTCAGATCTGTATTGAGGTATGATAAGCTGTCATTCACTGTTTTGTAGCTGACACAGTGAGCAGCAGTGAGGACCCACTCTGTTTATGGAATAGTGTTGTTGTTCAGGCTGTTTGCAGTGTGCATGCCCTGATGGGATGCCTGCTAGTTTGGTGTTTCATTCCAACCAATCTCCTGATGATATAAGTGCACCTCAACTTTACCTGGCTTTCTAAATTTAACAATCTCATGTTGTTCTCGGGCTTGATTTATTGTTTTCTCTGCAGCAAATCTTCTTGCTTCATTGAATTTGGAGCAAGTTGTTACTGCACTGGAACCACACTAAATTGTATTTTCCTATTTATTTATATTAATCTTATTTTATTTGTATCCTTTTATGCTATTTAGATATTCTTTTTAACTGTCAAAGCTCTAATATGTTAATCTGCCTTTTGTAAAGCACTTTAAAAGAGCTTGCTTGCCTTGATACTGTAAAAATTCATGATTTTTTTTTTTTTTGTGTGACTCCACATTGCTAAAAAAACCAAACTCCGAGCACTTTAGTCTATTGGTCACACACAGACATCAGACTTGTCAGCATGTTGTTTTTTTTATTATTACCTGCCAGGGCCATCTGTGAGGCTGGACATCCTCTCCTTCAACCACACGGCAGAGGGGACTCACGAGAAAGACTCTTTAAAAGCCATAAATTGGATTTCACAGCTGTATCTGTTGCTAAAGAAAGTACCCACTGAACAAAGACACGTGGCTGTAACAGTGCTGTGTGAGATGTTTTTAGCAAGAGAAAGATCCTTACCAACCTGAGCGAGAACCACAAACTTCATCTCGTCTCTATCTGCACAGTTTGCAGTTAACATCTGATATATTTATACCATTCACAGGCTTATGCAATCTACAACAACTGTATCAAGGACTTGGAAATTTGCCCTTTGACAAATAAAATGCTGGGGTGGAGCTTAGTGAACATCAGAAGTGCCAGGAATAAACAGGTGTTCTGGAGGTTTGTTGAACACATCAGTTTAACTAAGGGGTTTTAGGGTTTTTTTCTTTTTCTTTTTCTTTTAACATGTCCGGTCCAAAATCATGGCAAGCAGAATGATGATGTGGCTGCTGTGTTGTGCTGAACAGATTTACTTTGCCAAGGGGACCTTTATGAATATAATGCCCCTCTTGACAATCTGAGTTTTATTAATTTGTGTATTCATTCTATTTTATTTCATTCATGTATTCTGGATGCTTGCTTATTGCTGAATCGCGTGTAGTATTGCTGGACCTGAAAGAGGGGAAAAAAGAAAAGTGTACAGTTTAAAGAAGTGAAAGGAAAGCAGAAGAAAACAAATCCACCACAATCTACCGACTGCTACACCTGTACAAACACAGCAGCAGAAATGATCTTACGACTTTTGCGGGAAAACAGAGCTGGTAATCATCAAGAGCACCTGTAAGAGATGAGGAAGCTGAGAAAACCTGAATCTCAACGATTACCAGAACGCAAGATTTATATGTGCGCGCAAAGATGAGAGAGGGAAAAGAAACAGAAAAAGAAAGAACAAAAACAAACGACATGTGTCAGGAGAAATAAATAAATAGCACTGTTGCCTCGCAGCAAGAAGGTCGTCGGTTCGCGTCCCAGTGAGGACAACCGGCTTCCTCCCACAGTCAAAAACATGTTGAGGTTAATTGGTGATTCTAAATTGTCCGTAGGTGTGAATGTGAGTGTGCTTGGTTGTCTGTCTCTAAGTGTAGCCCTGCGATAGACTGGTGACCTGTCCAGGGTGTCCCTAGTAAGGGGATTAAGCGGTGTATAGATAATGGATGGATGGACCTGGTATTCAGACAGATCACCTTATTTCATATCAAATGTACCACTCCCCACTTTGATTTCCTTTTGAAAGAAAAATACGACCTCCTCCAGCACCTGAAGGACAGAATGACACAGCTGAATATACTGTATTAGTTAAATGCAGTCAACCAGTACACAGTTGTTGTTATTGCTACATAAAATAGATCAGCTCATGAAGTTTGCAAAACGGGCTGGAGATGTTTGCTTATATGAAGTAGCAAATTTTTCCATTTTCCTGTCACATCAAAAATATTCCTGTTACAGCTGAATATACAGTATGACGGATTAGATTTATTAATGGCAGCCTTTTGCTCAAATTTTGTAGAACGATGCCAAAACAAAGAATGGTTTATTTGCTACTTAACCACTAAGGGATACTCCTGTGCTACAACTACAGTACCTGTGGTATGATGCCATATAAACTCAGTGGTTTACTATGTGATTTATTCATATCAGTTCCCAACCTTACAAAAACATACCTAACACAAACGTAATAAAATTCTCTTTGGATGATCATGTTAATAATAATAATTTTTAAAAAGCATGTATCATAATTTGCCACTAAAATCAATTACTCTATAGGGATTAACATATTGATAAGAATTTCTAAAAATGAATTAACATGCACACTTGGGTTGAGGAGAATATTGTATAGCTTCACGTATAAAATAGGACAGTACTCATATTTCTTTCTTTAACTTCTCATCTTCTCTTACCATAAAGTTAGATGACCTGACCAGTTGAGGTCACATCTGTGTGGTTCACACAGGGGCACAAGCTGAGGAGATAAAGTGTATTTTGGGATGCCTGTGGTTAATTATCTCCAAGGCTGATTTATTTTTCCAACCAACTTTTCCTGGATCTGTTGAAATGCTGAGTAACGCTACTGTAAATACACCCGCTGAAGCACTATATAAGGAGCAGCAAGTCACTCCTTCTGCAGAAGACAGTCACCATGAAGTTCGTGATCTTGGCTTTGTTCGTTGCTGGCGGTAAGCTCATGACACTTCTCCGTCTAGAAACGGACTTTTGTTGCTGCAAAACCGTGAGATAAACCTGAGAATTTTATTTTACCACTAATTTTAACCAGCATTAAATCACCATGTTTTCTGTTGTTCTCTCCCAGCCTACGGGTGCGGCCTCCCCACCTACCCCCCTGTCCTATCCAGAGTGGTTGGTGGAGATGATGTTCGTCAGAGCAGCTGGCCCTGGCAGGTATGCTTCTTTCAAACTTTTCTTCAAAATTCGGTGTCTTCCTTCAATTGTTAAACACTGGTGTGCCGTCGTTGTGTGTTCTCCTCAGGTGTCTCTGCAGTACAAGAGTGGCAGCAACTTCTACCACACATGTGGTGGCACTCTGATCTCCAGTCAGTGGGTCCTGACTGCTGCTCACTGCATCGGGTATGACTTCACATTTAAAGACATCGGAAATTAGATGGGAAATTGCAGAGGACAAAGACATATGGAAGCCTGGGTACTACTTGAAGCAGGCTTATAGAGGCAATATGTAGAAAATGGTGTTTCAGAGTTAAATGAACGCTTCATGGTTGCAGCAGCCATTCTGTACTAGTGTTAGCAGAGGTAACTGTTTTGATACTACTTTGGTACGACAGTGTTTAAATAGAATTAAGGGTAACGCTTTATTAGATCTATGTGTCTTTGATGTTGTGTTTCTCTACTTTTTGTGGCCAAGCAGAGGTTACACCTACAGGGTCTACCTGGGAAAACACAGTCTGGAGACCAGCAACGAGTCTGGTTCCATCGCCATCAGCCCTGAGAGAATCATCGTCCACGAGGACTGGGACTCCTACAGAATCCGGTGGGTCATAATATGTAACCCAGAGCATATGATTGGCTGGATATGCTGCTGTACACTTTGCTCATGTTATTAATGCTCACCAGCACTCTGTTGCTTTATGTGCCGTTTGTATTCAAACTCCAGTAACGACATTGCCCTGATCAAGCTGGCTACTCCCGTCAAGCTCAGTGACCAGATCCAGCCCGCCTGTCTTCCCACTTCTGGTTCCATCCTGGCCAATGGTGCCCCCTGCTACGTCACTGGCTGGGGACGTCTCTGGAGTAAGTTCTTTCAGACAAAGACAATGATCTTAACTACCTAGAAAATGCTGCCAATCTGATCTCCTCCTATCTTTGTGTGTGCAATCGGTTTTCCTTTGGAATTTGTGCTGTCATAGGTGTCGTTTTTCTCAGCAGTTATCCAAATTGACTCTTTGTTAAACAGAAGGAAACTGTGCCAGACAGATATAACAACGCTTCAGAGCAATTTTATTTGATTTCATTTTTACCTGTGTCTCAATTGAAGTTGTGCATCGTGGACCTAGTTTAGGAACTGACTGAGCCAGTAATATGGTCGTCTTGACTTCAGCGCTGAATCGGAGTGCCTTGTGTTTCTTTTATAGCTGGAGGTCCCATTGCTGACATCCTGCAGCAGGCTCTCCTCCCTGTGGTGGACCACTCCACCTGCAGCAGGTACGACTGGTGGGGAAGTCTGGTCACCACCAGCATGATCTGTGCTGGAGGAGATGGAGATCTGGCTAGCTGCAATGTGAGTCATATTAACTTTATATATCAGACTTGTGCCATTCTTCAATCCAGTTTCAACAAAACAAAGCCCAGCCTTGTGCTTAAACATATCTCTATGTTGTGTCATTGCAATTCTGTTCTACAAAGTTTGTTTTATAAAGATGTTTCCTCCTCCGTCTGATCAATTTTACCTAATATCACATTCATGTCATCTGTCCTCAGGGTGACTCTGGCGGTCCCCTGAACTGTCGCAACTCTGATGGTTCCTGGGATGTCCACGGAGTGGTGAGCTTTGGCTCCAGCATGGGATGCAACTACTACAAGAAGCCCTCTGTCTTCACCAGAGTCAGCGCCTACAGCTCCTGGATCAGCAATGTAAGTGGAAAAGAATTTGATTCTAAAATTCAAAACACTGTGTGATACAACAGATACACGTTTGCTTATTTTTGGCTCAATTTGGCCGATATGAAAAGTTCTTCCTGCCCTGAAGGTTGAGCCCCCACCGATGAATCAGACTTTCAGACAAAGCACAGAACAGAACCCTAACAGAATTTCCCCATGGGGATCAATGAAGTATTTCTATTCTATTCTATTCTCAGACTTTCAAAAGGCAGCCACTTGTTTTTTCGTATCACTAATCATTAGAAATGGTTTTATTTAATTAAGGAATTGCATTTTTTACTTTGGCAAAAATGTATGATTGTACAGAAATTACTAAATAGAATTCTACAAACAATGAAATACTGTCGTATACGCGTCGTCGTTTTATTTTGAACATCAACTACTCAGTGGCTCAGAAATGTTGAAAATGAAACTGTGATTAGGAGCTGCACACAGATGTTCTCCTGCATTGTACCAGAGTTATTTAAAATGCTCTCTTAATACTTGTCCTTTTTTTCCAGGTGATGGCCAGTTACTAAGATGTGGGTTGGTGTTTGGCGTACATAGTTGGTTGTTGCACCATGAAATAAAGCATGACATAGCAGATACAGTCTCCTCTGTGTTTTGTTTTTCAGTCATCAAAATGGTATTTAAGATTTAAAGGGAGTAAAAAACAAACAAAAAGATGCAGCCCTCCCTCTGCAGCTCTTCCATCTCCCCTCCATGTTCTAGCCCATTCCACATACACTTAAAGTCAACATTCATTTATGGCTTCATCCAGGGTTCGGACACCAGCTTCCAAAGTCCACCATCTAACTCACTGCCCCATTTCATCTGATCACAGCAAAAAGCCCTGTGTTTGGCTAAAATCTCCAGTCATGGGATAGATTTTCTAAAACCTGAAAACAGCCAGGAGGAGGTGCAGAGGTCTAGTTTACTCTCATACTACTTGAATTACAATGTGCTTAAAGGTTGGTTTAGAATTTTCGTCTAGTCTTGCCGAAGAATACTACCTGCCTGAGCTTTAATTTGTTAGTGAGACCACTGCCACACAATACCATCAGCTAAATCCTACACTGTACATTTCTTCTTAAATGTTAAAGTTGCACATTAGACATGTTTATTGTCATGATGTTATTGTGGCAACCACCAAATACACCCTCGCAGTAATAACCACAGTGTTCAGTTCAGTGTTTCAGAGTTTAAAGTACCCGGTATCACAGATCTCACGATTATTTTTAGATGATAACTTAATGATAACTGAGAGTAAAGAGAAAACAAGTAATATATTTGCAATGCATGTACACAGACTATGCACACAAATGCAACCTCTGGATGCACACAGTGACGTTGTCTTCTCTGACTGCTATGTTCCTGTCAGACATCCTCCATTTTTACTGCAGTCACTGGTATACTGCTGTTAATGTTGGTGAAGCCTGCACACACTCCTACACTGTCACCCAGGAGATCGACCTGGAAATCAGATTCCTGACAGCAGAGAGGAGCTGGTGTTTTGTCAAACTTCGGATTTCTAATGGCACTCCAAGGCTTTTCGGTTCATCCCTTACAAGAAAGTTCCTATCAGCAAGAACCACAATAACCCTGTTTGGGCTCAAAAAACCCTGCAGACCCTCCCGCATGCAAGCTCCACACAAAAAGGCCCCAGGCCAGTTTCCAAAGCAGAACCTTTTCAAATTGCTGCCTGGAGTAAAAATGTCTTATCTAGCTAGTGTGAAATCCAAAATTTCAACCATGTAATACTTGAAATAAACTAATAAATAAGTAAATAAATAAATTCACATAGTGTATAGTCCGTGGAACAATGTCAATGCATTTTATTAATTCCAGTAAAGGTGAACCTGGCAGCAGGTCTCAGACTGCAGCCGCCTGTACATGGAGTGATCCTGACGGGATCTGATCCGTTGACCTTCGTGTTTCAAGCGTGCAGTTTGAAGCAGTCGGCCTCCAACAACAAGGAGTCTTTAACAGACAGAAAGTGTGTCTGGCAGCGACGACCTCGGTCTGTGTTTCTTATTTGACTGATGTTTCCTGATCGGAGCGACTTAGTTTTGTTTCAGTAAATGTGATCTTCTGCTTGGACAGAGTTTGACAGAGTGTTGAACAAGTTGGACAAGCGAAAAAGACTCAGGACACAGGGCTGGTTGTCCGACGTGGTGAAGCAGGACTGTAGGTGTGTGCTGAGAGCTGCTCCGTCCAGGGGCAGGACAGAATGAGGAGAGACACTGGCTGGATGTCCAGGTGGGACAAAAAGTGAGCTTTGGAAGGCTGGTGTGTTGTGTGTTTGGAGGCAGGTGGTGGTTGAAGACGTGATTGTAAAAGTGTGACATGGTAAAGTGAGTGATGTGTAATTGAAAGTGACAAGCTGAAGTTGAAAAGAGTGACAATAAAAATGGTATTGTGTATGATGGTCATGTGTATGTAGAAAAGAAGAATGGACGTTTTGAGAGAGAAAAACATGCCACAGGTGCTTGTGGGTGAAGGGGTGTGTATCTCCCCCCGACACCTTCTGGCGCCTTGTCTTCCATTCCAAGAGCCACCCACAGCTCTTGGTCGAAGGGGCGGATCAGAAGGTAGTCCGCAAAGGAGAGCAACACCACACCTGCTATTAAACACCTGCCAATCACTCCCTATTTATAGCCCTCTGAGGACACGTTGGTGTCAGCCAGAGTGTTTTCTCAATTTTGAGGGGACTTTTTTCACGTCGAACAGATTCTCCGAGCAAAATACAGCTGCCTCACAACATTTTGACCTGGTTGTCTGCTTTAGTTTTCATAGGAGCCTGTTGGATTTGTTGGTCTGAGGCTGCCTCTTGGAACTCTGGGTAAGCGTTTAAGGGTAGCTTAATTGCTAGTTCAGAGCCAGTGCCTGATTTAGCGCCAGTTCGTTGTGTTTCCACCACCTAAGCACCAGCTCCAGGTTCTCAAAACTGGTGCTTTTCAGACACCACCAACTCTTTGCCGGGCCACAGCTAAGCACCGATGAGGGGCTGGGGGCGGAGTTATCGTGACCGCCGAGACCGATGAATGGGACATACAAGCGGTGATTTGTTTTTTGTTTTTCGCCAGGACGTCCCTGGTCAAATCGCAGATGTATTGCAATGACACACGGAAGTTTTGCACACACTCTTGCACACTGAAAGCCGGTACAACTGTGTCCCACCAGTTGCCCCACAGTGGTGGCAAACAGTACTTTTATAACTTCGGTGCACTGCGGTATTGACGCTTAGAAATGCGGTCTTTTTGTGAAAAACGGAGCGCACCTACATGTTTATGAGAAAAAAAAATCACTCGGTTTCATCTTGGACAAATCTGACATCAGAACGCCCTAGTTCACTCTTTTTTAAAGTCATTTGTGGTCGCACACCTGTATGAGCACCGCGGCCACCAACAGCAGCATGTTGTGTGGGGCGTTCGGGGAACATCGGAAATGGTAGAATCTATCGATAAGAAAATGTTCAGCAAGTCATGTTTTGCCTGTGACAAGGTGTGAAGTGCGACCAAATGAGAAGGTTGGTCGCACCGGTAAAAAGAAAAGAAAAAAAAAAAAGTTGGGAGTCCTGTGTGGACTTCCGTGTGGCACGAGCGTTGTGACGTAGGCGTGGCTCGACCTTGGCTCCTTGCCGATTTAAAAGCGAACTGGTTCTTAGGAGATGCCAGATTTGAACCAACTAAGCACTGACCCTTGCACGAGCACGGAACCAGCACTTGGTTCTTCTTGGTGGGAAAAGGGGTACTTGAGGTGGACGGAACCTGCGGAGCCCAGAGTGAGGAGGAAACGTCCTGCAGTACCACGTTCAGCCACATCACACAGCCAACGGGCTGATGGCGCTGTTTCAACATTTCAGCATTTACACAGCAATTTTTATTTCTGTATTTAAATTTTATTTTAGCTTTGAAGGAACATGACCACCAGACTCGCATTGAGCTTTTCATGCGTCTGGTCCTGTCAGGCTGCTGATGACTTCACTGACTCATCCTTTCAGCTCTACTTGTATTTACTGTTCAGGGTCGTGTCATTTGTCAAGAAGCTTCATCTATGGAAAATCCTAACTTGTACAGTATGTTACAGCCTGGCTTAAAGACTGCAAAA